TGTGGGGGACACTGGCTGTGAGGTGAAGCATTGTGGGACATTGTCCACTTTCCCAACATGCTCCAGGGCCCATCTTAGCCCTTGGCGGGTTTGGAAGAGGGGAGGGAGGGTTGGTGCCGAGAGTGGGAGCCAGGCCCATTGAGGTCCCAGGAGTGAATGCCGCATTGTTGGCCAGGCCAGAGTCACAGATAATTACCTCAATTAGTGACAATGGGAGAGTAATAAATACAGGCTTAGTGTCTCCTACCCCACCAGGGCTCCGAAGATTAATCCAGGCTGACGGGCGGGCCCTGAAAAGCATGATAGACAATTCATTAAACTCCCCAAATGCCGCACAACCTGGGCGTGAAGGCTGAGTTAGCCCCCTGGGGGCTGAGCCTTTGTCCCGATTGTGTGTCTCCGCCACAGCAGAGCCGGGCAGCCCCCAGAGAGCCGGGAGGTGAGTGGGGCTCCCCGAGCCAGGCCAGGCGGCAGGGGGATTAGGCCTTGGTCCGGCCCTGGTTGCCCTGGCACACTGGCCCGGCCTGGCTGGAATGTCCGTGGGGGGGAGCTGGCCGAGCGGAGGGGCGGGGCCGACAAGGTAGGGTAAGGGGGGCACACAAAACCGGGGGCAGGAGGAGTTAATTAGACGCCAGCGGAGGAGGGCGAGGGGCCACAATAGGGCTGAGGGGCCGCCAGGGACAGCCCCTTTACTTTACTTCCGAGGATTAATAGGGAGGAGGGAGAAGGGAGGGGCTCAGCCCTGGGGGAGGAGAGCTGGGAGCTTCACAGGGTGGTACTGCCCCCTCTTGCTCAGCTTGGCACCTACTTGACAGGTGGCTGGGAGGCAGCGGGCTCTGGCAGCCTGAGCAGGTACCCTCAGCATCTCACAGAATGGCTCCTTCTTCCTCACATGGTATCTACATTGTGAGGTTGATTGGGCAGACGGGAGAAAGGACCCTCTCATTCATCAGGGAAGTAGTGAAAGCAGGAATGTCATGCAGGGGTGGAGAACCTGGGACCTTAAGGCCACACATGGCCCTCCGGATCCCCAAGTACAGCCCCTCAACCAAATCCAAACTTCACAGAACAAATCACTTTATTAAAATAATTTGTTCTGTAAAATTTGGATTCAGTCAAAATGTTGTACAAGGCATCACTCAAGGATCCAGAAGGCCACATGACTGCAGGTTCCCCACCACTGTGCAGCAGGGCTGTATTATCGGCACCTCCTACCCTCATATATAACCTGCTCTGAGGCCCACCTGGGGGCCTGAAGCTTTACCTTTCCTGATGAGACCGGCAGGTTAAAGCCAGGAAGTCCTTAGGAGGGGCTGGAGCACAGGGAGGAGGCGGCTGTGAGTGCACGTGCATGTGCCCGTGTTTGTGTGTGCCTGTGCTCAGGGGCTGGCACTTAACATGCCTTCCATGAATGCTTGTTGAATGAATGAATGAACTTGTGTTTTGCTGAGAGTAAATGGGTATGAGGAAGAGAAGTGGCACTGGGTTGCACCGTGACACAGAGTGGCTTTGGGCCCTTTCATTCTGAGTTTCCAGCTGTGGCCCAGGGAAGGTAGAGACCCCATCTCTGAAGAGATGCGCAAATGTCCAGGGAAAATGCAGTGGCAGTGGTTCATTCACCTTGAAAAGGGAAAAAAAAATGCTGTGGCCTCTTGGAAGCCCCACTTCCTCCTGGGCCTCAGGGGACAGGGCAGCCCTGGCTCCTCCCTAGGAGCCACCCCACCCTACCCCTCCCGGGGGATGACAGGGGAGCGAGTTGGCGGCAGTTCCCTGGGCATATTTATAACCTGCTGCTCGCTCACCAGCGTCTGCTTTTAGCCCAGACGGGGGAGGGGGTAGGGGGGTGGTCTGTCTCATGCTGGGCGCCCCGGCTGGGTGTGGAAAGAGTGAGTAAGGGTGAGTGGTGGGCAGCTCTGCATGGATATTCCTGCTCACACCACAGCCAAACAGCTTATTTTCTCCTCATTTTGTTATTTTTCTCCCTCTGGCCTGGAGAAGAAGACTGAGCCAGCCTGGGACGTGGGGGGTGGGGGCTGGACCCTAGGGTATTTGCAGCCCCACTGACAGGGTTTTTCCAGGGTGCGTGTGGCAGGGTGTGTGGTGCTGGCTTGCTGACCCCCTGGGGACTGTGCATAGCCTGCCTTTCCTCTCAGCCTTTCCGCTCCCCCAGGATAGTTCAGGGCCAGTCTCTCCTTCACTTGCTGAGGCTAGCTAACCTGTGTCCAGGGTTCCTGCCAGCCTCAGATCCCCTGAAGTGTGTGGCACCTGGCATGTGAAGACCAAAGGTGGATGAGAGCTGGAGCATCAGGCACGCACGTTCCTGATGACACTATCCCATGGCCACCACTCTGAGCCACTCTGGGCCCCGAAACCTTTGTGAGGCCTCTTTCTAGGCACAGCTGTTCTTGTCCCCAGGATTTACCCACTCTAGCCCTGCGTGGGGACAGCACAGATGATCATAATAACAAAATACAATAATTACCTTCTATGTATTGCTTTGCAGATCCTATAGGATCTTTTTTTTTTTTTTACCTGTTTTTTGTATTTTGTTAGTGCCCCATTGAGGCCCCAGCCTCACTGTGCACTTCCTGCACCACCTGCCTTGGAAGTCCCAGCCCCTGGAGGAGAAGGGACTCCATGCTGAGGACTGGAGTCTGAGAGTCTGTCCTTACACTCGATGCATGTGCAGAGGGCTTTACACTTCACTGAGCCTTCCTTGAATTCTCCCGTTTATACTGATAATATCTGTTGATGTGCTTGATTCCCTGACCAGACGGTTACCTCCTCTGAGCAGGCACTATAGCTTGACCATCACTGTATCATTAGCATTTGGCAGATGCCTGGTACAGAAGAGTTGTAAGTGTTCCAGTGACCCAACCTTTCATGTACATGTATCTCATCCGAACTTCACCTCCCTGAAGGATAGGTAATGATAACCATCCCTGTTTAATAGACAAGGCAATAGAGGCTGAGAAAGCAAGAGAATTGTTAAAAGTGTACTTAGGGACAGAAAAGGATTCATTGCTTTCCCTTGCTGTTCTTCCAGCTTGTATGTGTCAGCTCAGCCCAGAGGTCCCCAAATTCCAGGCCTAAAAGCTGATACCGACTCCACTTCTTAGAGTTAGGACTTAGGTGAGAGTAGTTAGAGACAGCTGCCAACCCTTTGACTCTCTAGGCTACTGCTTCTCCTCAACTCTGAGTGTTGTCCAACAGGGGCCTAAGCCCCTCTTCTGCTTTAACTTCTTACTTTGGGAGCTGGGAGATCTAATGGCTTTTTCGGTTGTAGACTAGGCATTCTCCGTAGACTAGGATGTTCTATAGTGGAAACCCAAGACCTGTTGGGTGCTTCCTACCTAGGACCAATAGGTTTTTATTCCTCCCCATAGGCTGCGCATTGCAGCTGAGATGGTGCTAGCTTGGCAGATGGAGAGAAAGGGAAAGGGATATCATTGTGGAGTTGAGCACCTCCTGGCTGCACTCCCCTACCCCCTAGAGGTATCTGAAAGGCCAACAGGAGTCAGAGTTCACACATCCAGGGAGACGTAGGAGGCAAGGACAACAGCAAAAGGCTCCTGGGAATAGGGGAAAATTCTCAAGTAGGCTGGGACCAGTTGTTCCCCTTGGGGTGTGGACGAGGGGCTTCATAGCTTCCCCTGCCCTTCTGGTCCTCCCCTAAGGGGAGGAGCTAGAATTAGGAACAGACATTAGAGTTTAGGAAGGGGTTAGTGTTTGTCTGAAGTTAGGGTTAAGGCTAAGGTTCAACCTAGACCTAGGAACAGGGAGAGGATTAGAGTTAGAGATAGGTTTAGGGCTATAGGTGGGATTAGAACTCCTGCCCACTCTGGTGAATGTGGACACAAGTTATCATATTGGTGTTGCTAGTAAAGGAATCCTCATTCTGGCTCTTTATGGGAAGGGCTAGCTTAATGTTTGGCTGTGGACCACACTTGGGTTTCCTTTCAGTTACATTGGTTTAAGCCTAGCCTGCATTTGGATTCTAACCCTCCTGCTCCCTTCTTCTCTCCCACAGGCATGTCTGAGATTATGGGTCCAGAACTAGAGCTTATCACTTGTTCCCTGGATCCCCCTGAGCCCAAGTTTGAGAACTGGGGTCTTAATAACGTATTTACTTTTCTTGGAGGAGGGGGCTTAACCCCTACCCAATGCTGTGACCACAGCTGAAGATGAGCTTCAGGGGCCAATAGCTCTCCCCATTGGGGACAGCAGCACCTTTCTGCTTGAGCTTCTTTTTTTTTTGAGACAGAGTCTCGCTTTGTTGCCTAGGCTAGAGTGAGTGCCGTGGCGTCAGCCTAGCTCACAGCAACCTCAGACTCCTGGGCTCAAGCGATCCTTCTGTCTCAGCCTCCCGAGTAGCTGGGACTACAGGCATGCGCCACCATGCCCGGCTAATTTTTTCTATATATATTAGTTGGCCAATTAGTTTCTTTCTATTTATAGTAGAGACGGGGTCTCGCTCTTGCTCAGGCTGGTTTTGAACTCCCGACCTCGAGCAATCCGCCCGCCTCGGCCTCCCAGAGAGCTAGGATTACAGGCGTGAGCCACCGCGCCCGGCCCTGCTTGAGCTTCTTTTCCTACTTTTCAGAACATGGTTGCGGCTTTCACTCAATTGTAACTATTTTCACAACTTTTCCAGATAGGAAAAGCAGGCGCAGAGTATATGTGTGTGTTTAGCACATGCACGTGCCCATATCACACCGCAGCAGCAAGTCGGTGTTAGATCAGGAGGAAGAGCCCTGCAGAGTCTTTTGCCTCCTGACCAGGTTCTTTTCCCAGGAGAGCTGGATCCCCAGTGGCCTCATTAGGGTCATCCAAGGGTCAGAATCTCAGGGGCCTTTTGCAGGGCCCGGAAAGCAGTCCCCCAACAATGCATCCTATTTGTTGAAAAGAGGTAAGCCCTCAAGCCTGGGAGTGGTAAAAGGAGGGGGGGAGGAGACACCACAAGCAATGTTGTGTTCTGGATTCAAGGAAAAGCCACCGAGTCATTGATAAAAATAGAGATTTTATTCTACAGAGGAAGATGCTATATTGGTTGGGTGAGGAGCCACTAATAGCTACAGTGAAAGGAAATACTGATATCAGTAGGCAAAGGCATCTTTGAGAAACCAAGAGGAGGGACTGGAAGAGGCTGGAGGGCAAAAGGAGAGAAGAGCAGAGAGGGGTTGGGTTGGGGTGGAGGTGGTCTCTGCAAACCAGGCTGGAACCCAGCACAATAAATAGTTTTATTTACAACAACCAAACTCGTGGCTTTGTATCCACGTTGTTTCAGTGCAAATTATTTACACACTGATGAGGAGGCAGGACAGGAAGGGGTAGGAGGTGGCTTGGGGAGGCATGGCTCACAGCTGTTCAGTGGCTCCATGACAGAGGGAGAATGGGGGCATTTCTTCGGGGTCCCCCTACCTCATTTCCACATCACCACAGCTGCCCTTTCACCCTGGAACCTCCTGCTTCAGCTGCAGGTGGGGAGGAGAAAGGCCCTGATGCCCAGGTGTGTGTTCAGGGTCTGCACCCTGGCCAGGAGAATGAATGGTCGTCTCCGTGACGACCTGGAGAAAACGGAGCACAGAGGGGAAGGAGAGAGGTCGCTGGAGCAGTGGACTAGGCAGAGCAACACCGTCAGGAGCTGACGCGGGTTGGGGGAGGGATGCATCCTTCTCACACCTCCTGGCCAAGCAAGGGGCAGTGCAACAAGGGGTCTCCCATGGAGAGGGAGGGAGGTAGGTCCCGGCAGGTCCATCAGGATGGCAAGAGGGTTCGTGCTGCCCCAGGCAAATGGTTTGAGGAGTCCCCAGGTGGAAGGAAGTGGGAGAGATGGGATACGGATAACCGCCGGGGAGTGCGGCTGAAGGTACTGGGGTGGGCGAATATCAGGGTCTTTAGTGCCAGCGAGTCTGTTTGGAGGAGGGCTTGACGAGAGCGTTCCTGGGGGGCGAGTCCGCGCAGTGCCTCACAGACACTCGTGCAGTACGCGCGTGTGCGTGCAATTGCGACAGCTGACGTGGCAGCACCAGTGGAACGTGCAGTTGCAGCGCTCAGTGACGCGCTGCGTGCGCGTGCGGTGGCCCCGGCCACAGCAGAGCAGCTCGCAGCCGTCCAGCGCGGGCGACGAGCTGTTACAGGCGCGCCCTGCAGTGCCCGCTGTACCCAGGCGTCCGCTGTACGTGCAGAAGTTCGGTGATTTCTCGAAGTAGACGAGGTCATGGGGGGAGGGCGGCTTGTGGGCCGGGTCTTCAGGCTCTAGGCGCAGCAGCTCCGCCCGCGAAGCACGGTTGCTGCCACGGTTGCCGTAGAGGACGCGCGAGGCACCATCGAAGCGGTCTCGCAGCACGTCGCCCACGGCACGCAGCGTAGGCAGCCGCATCCAGCACGTGCGCACCGTGCACGAGCCAGACATCCCATGGCATTTGCACTCCTGGCGCATCTCGGAGAATACGGTCTGGGGGAAGGGGGTAAGAAAGGGTGTCCCAGGGCACTGGGCCAGAGCCACCATACCAGATACCGCCCTCTCCTGGACGATACCGGGACCAGACCTGGCAAAGGCTCAGGCCTAGCGGAGCCAAGGGAAGGGAGGCGCGAAGTGTCCCACCGAGATTTGAAACCCGGCCCAGCTCTGCTCCAAGCCGGCAGAGTCAGTCTCAGCCTCTCAACCTTATTTTTCGAATCTGTACAATGGAGGGGCTGTAGGCAATACGTTCTATGGTTTGGATGACTTCTAACCTCTCTGTTTTACCTGCCCTAAGCGGAGACATCCCTTTGCCCTTAGTCTCTGTGCTTTCTATTCTCTGGCTTCGTTCCAGCCTCCCGCTCTTTCAGGACGCCCTCTCCTGGTGCCCCTTGCCTAATCACCGACCGCTACTTCCCGAGCCCGAGGTTAGCCCCTGCCACTCCGCTTCGGCGCGGAGCCTCTTAGCCGGCTCACCGTGCGGCCCGCCTCATTGTTGTGAAGGTTCATGAGGAAGCGCAGGTCCCGCCCTTTCTCTCCGGAGTCCACGAACTCCCGGCCGAAGAGGCGGCCGAAGTCAATGTTGTCGCTGCAGCCCCCCCAGTGCCAATCAGGGCCCCCAGGGCCGCGTCGCCGGTAGTCGCACGTGCAGGACTCAATGGACCCCTCTGAGCAGGAGCGGGCCACCGAATGGGTGACCCCGGCGGAGGTGATGGCGAAGATAAAAGCAGTTTCCCGACAGCCTGTGGAAGAAGGGAGAGAGGATCAGCAGGGGATACGCGGGGCGCGGCTCAGTGGAGAGCTTGGGACCCTGAGGTCCCACGCCGCCCCGACTCCACCCTTAGAGTCCTGAGAGCCCGGCGGCCCGCTGTGTTGGAAAGCTGATCTCTAGGGCTCATAGAAAAAGCAGGTGCGTGGGCACGCACCCACCTCCGCCGTCGTAATCACGTCTTACTGAAACTCTTCAGGGCTCATTTTGGCTCTAATGCAGAAGCTCGAAAGAGAAAAACCTAAAAGAAGGGAGCGGAAGAATTATGCATTGCTTTGACCTCTTCGAAAGCCCAAATTTTCGGCCCATTTTGGCAATGCAAGCTTTGCTGGGCAGGAGGCAAGACACGCCCGCAGAGAGCCACTTCCCAGGCTGGGGGAAAGCGGCGGTCGACCCGCCGGCGTCCACGACCCGGAACTCCCTTTCTCTGGGACAGTAGTTCAAAACAGTTAAGTTCGTCCCCAGGGTCCAGGGGTGGAAAATGCCTGGTAGAAAGAGTCCGGCCCGGGCTAGCGCTGGGCCCTAGGCACTTGGCGGGTTGACCATGTGCCCCTGCTGGCGCCCGAGACACCTTCCCTGCACTCGCCGCCCATGCCCTGGGGGTGACCCCGCGTTTTCCCTGGTCCCGGAAGCATCGCATTCCTGGGCACCCACCTCGGTTGACGATCTTGCCGAAGAGGTGGGGCCCTGGAGCAGTGGGGCAGTTCCAGCGGCGATTCCGGAACTGCCACTTGCACTCGCGCACGGCGCTCTGCAGCCCCCCGCTCACGCTGTGCAGGATCCCCGGGTTCTGGCGGATCAGGCGCCGCTGTTTGCGGCTCAGCAGCTGCAGACTGGGCTCGAGCACCAGCTGCAGACTTTTGGAGTCGGTCAGCAGGTTCGTGGAGGAGGCTACGTTCACGATGCCCCTGGTGGGACGCATGATAGAAGCTCAGGCTTGGAAAGGGGACCTGCACCCTGGCCGTAAAGGCTGTGCCCACCTGTTCTCTGCCTGGCGCTATGAGGAGAAAATCTCCGGAGATCAATAATAAGGTAATGATTCCGCGCTACCAGGCTCACTAGTTTGAAAGAACTGGGCATTCAGACTTTTGTGTGCTTAGGAGGCTTAGGGTTGCTCTCGGATCCCCGTGTCCGGAGACTGAACAGAGACATGGGGGAATCAGGAGACTGAGTGTCTACCTTGGCGTTCTGAGCCTCCTTCTAGTCAGCTTGAGCAAGGAAATCATGACCTGCAGCCCTTGCCCACCCGAGACGTGAAATGCTTAGGAGTCCCACCCTCTTCTTGCTTCTTTTCTAAGCGAATACCTGGTCCTTCGCTTCCAGAGGTGGAGAAATCTGTGGTGCGGCCACCTCTGTGAAGTGGGTGCTCAAAGGGGAAGGGCGCTGCTAGATGAGAGTGGGCTCCCTGCCTGGGGTATCTCAGGCCTCCTCGGGAGGACCATCTGCCCCACTTCAGCAGAGCTGGAGATTCTGGGGCAGCACTACGCCAGAGCGCCCCTCGGTGTCGCGGAGGGAAGTCAGAGCGCGGGAAGTAGCCTGTCGGAGGACGGATCCCAGAGCGTGGGAAGCTGGGTAGGGTTGGCCCTTGGCTCTGTGCCCCAGGACAAGTGGCGACCCCGCACCAGCCCACTTACCACCATCGGCCACTGCTGTTGGCAGCCAGGGCTGCGGGCAGAGCGGCCAGTGCCAGCAGCAGCGTAGCAGAAACCCAGCCGGGCAGCAGCGCCCAGCGCCCCATGGCCTGCTTTGCCCGCTCTGTACAGCAGTTGCGGCGACTTTGGCTGCTGCCCGCGACGGTGCGACGGGACGCGGCGGTGGCGGCAGTGGCGAGAGTTCCCAGTCTGGCTTTAACAACCCCGGGGGCGGGCGGCGGACAGCATGGCTCGCGGTCCCGGCTGGTGGGCTGAGGCAGCCACGGCGGGCGGCACCGCCTCTTATAGTTGCGGCGCTGGCTGAAGTGACGGGAGGAGGCTGCCCCTCCAGGCCGCACTGTGGCACCAGGGCGCACCGGTTAGGGACGCAGACAATGGGCAGCGAGCGGAGCCTTGGCTCCCGCCCGTCTGAGCCTAGAGCTGACGCGCTGACCGTCGGGGCTCACCCCCCCCTGCCCGGTGGCCCCCGCCTCCGGGCTTGCACTGGCCGCGGACCCCTCCCCTTGGGACACCCTCCCACGCGCGCCCGCCTCACTTCTCCTAGAGTCCAGAGCCCGTCGGGGACCAGCATCCGCCAGGGGGCGCGGCGACAATGTGCTGTGGGGAGAGCCCGCCAGGAGCCCAGCCAGCCTTGCCTCTCGCAGTGGGGCTGTCCCCTCGACGTCACCCCGGGGCCCCGCTGGCGTTCCCTCTCTCCCCCATCCTGAGCGGCAGGAGGAAAGCTGTGGTGATGTGGTTCTGGCCAGGGACTCCGGAGAGACGCTTAACCACCCAGGAACCCCCATGGGTGGACCGAGAAGGAAAAGGGGGAGATGGGGGCGTGGGTTGGGCTGTGGTCAGGGAAATCCCGGAGGTGGCTGGGGGCGGGGGTTAAGTGACCAAAAGGAGCTAAACAGTGGAGAGAAACCTGAAGCAGCAGCAGTTGGAGCATGTGGGCCAGAAGGAGCCCACAAGTGGCTGTGTGTGTGCGGTGTGTAAGGGCAACAATGTGAATGTTAGTGCAAATGAGAATGTGCTAGTGCGTTCCTAGGGTGCACACTCCTGTTGGCAGCATGAGAAGAAACTCCTTGTTCTGAGGAGGGATATTAGGAAACTTTCCAAAGAATTTTGGAATGTACCTCAGGTCAGAAGGGATCATCCAGTCATCTTGTCACAGTCACCACCTGGGCAGTGTGTCGGGAAGGAGGTGGCAGCTGTTGACAGGAGAGACCCAGAAGCTTGACTGAGGAATAAAGTGTCTGGAACTGTGAGTGGAGTGGGTGGATGAGTGTGTGCATGGAGAGATTAAATATGTGGCGTGTATGTGTCACTCTTTTGCCCCGTGTACCTTGAGGCATCCTATGGTGTGTCACCCTGTGGCATGTGTCAACCTGCATGTGTCATTGGGGGAGGAGGCTGAGCCTATAACCAAGGTGATATCAGAACGGACCAGTCTGGAGGGGCTGGGTCTCTGAGGACTAGGTTCAGAAAGGGTGGGCAGGCTTATAAGGGCTCATACCTGTAATCCTAGCACTTTGTGAGGCCAACGAGAAGATCACTTGAGCCCAGGAGTCCAAGACCAGCCTAAGCAACATAGCAAGACCCTGTCTCTACAAAAAATAGGAAAATTAGCTGGGCATGGTGGTGTAGACCCTGTAGACCCACCCAGCTACTTGGGAGGCTGAGGCAGGAGGATCACTTGAGCCTAGGAGTATGATGTTGCAGTGAGCTATGATGATAGCACTCTAGCCCAGTCAACAGAATGAGACCCTGGAGAGAGAGAGAGAGAGAGAGAGAGAGAGAGAGAGAGAAACAGAGACAGAGAGAGAGAGAGAGGAGGGGGGAGATGGGCAATGGTATAGATGTCAGGTGTGTGTGTATGGTGGTTGAGGACTGGGGAAAAAAGGGCTGCTGGCTGCACTGAATCTAGCTTAGGGAATTTACACTTCCATATGTTTGCTTCTCTTTGGATATTTCTGCCAAGTTTTCATCTTTCCCTAAAACTCTGGTTCTCTCCACTCTCACCACACTGGAATACCCAGAGTACCTATGACCATCTCGTCGACTATACAATTTTCTCTTCTCTCCCAGGGACTCCAACTCAGCTTCAAGACCCCCCTGGCCTCCCATTGAAGTGGCTGCCATTCCCTATATGGGGCGTAGGGGGCACTGCCAGCCTGGTTATCATGCCCCACCACCACACACACAGATGGCCCCTGGAAGGAGGGAAGGTCTCCTTTATATCTCTCCTCTTTCCCCACTTTACAGAATTAAAAATAGACCAGGCAGTTGTCCAAGACCCACATCTAATAAATGTATCAATGGTAGAGCTAAACCAGACCATTTTGGCTCAAAGCCAAAGCTTTTCCCACCTTACCAGCTGCTTGCCGGTATGCAGCAATAGCAGGTAGGAGCCCTTCTCAAAATTGACAGATTGGTAAAAATGATTTTTAGGACTTTCCTATCTCCCTTTTAGGTCCTCTTTTTTTTTTCCATTTCCTCTGTCTTTTAGGATGCTTTCTTTCTTTCTTTATTTTTTTGAGACAGAGTCTCGCTTTGTTGCCCAGGCTAGAGTGAGTGCCGTGGCGTCAGCCTAGCTCATAGCAACCTCAAACTCCTGGGCTCAAGCAATCCTGCTGCCTCAGCCTCCCGATTAGCTGGGACTACAGGCACGTACCACCATGCCCAACTAATTTTTTCTATATATATTAGTTGGCCAAATTAATTTCTTTCTATTTATATTAGAGACACGGTCTTGCTCTTGCTCAGGCTGGTTTCGAACTCCTGACCTTGAGCAATCCGCCCGCCTTGGCCTCCCAGAGTGCTAGGATTACAGGCGTGAGCCACTGTGCCCGGCCTGGGATGCTTTCTGATTGGGAAATTTCCCCAGGCCCAATCCTAAAGAGTCTCAAGTCCCCAAAATATCCAGGGCTCCCTTCCAAAGCAGGGAAATTACTCTAAGGAGTAAATGCCTGATAAGGTAAATTAATATTCTTGGGGCATTTGTGTATTAACCGAGATGAAGCCTGACGGAGGTTATTCTTGAGGGAAATGTCCTTCCCAGACTCTTTGTCCAGCACAGTGTATCTGACCCTAGATTCATCCCTGAGGGGCAAGGCGTACCGGCTGCCCAGCATCCTCCACAGATCCAAAAGCTAGTAGTCCCTGTGCATAGAGCACCAGAATAGATGGCTCAGGTACATGGACAATGTACTATGGGCAGCCTGTCCTTTGCCCCTTAGGTATTTCTCCCCATTGGGACCTGGGTCACATCTTTTGGCCTGGTGGATTGATACAACTTTACAAAGGTGGGATGTGGGCTGGAAGACAGGAAAGCCCTGTCCGTGGCCACTGGTGTCAAGCAGATGTAGGAAGAGAGGAGAGGAGTCAATACCCTTTGTTCCACTGTTCCACCCACCAGAACTAGGGGCAGAGGGAAGCAGCCCTAGGTCTGGATCACACTGTGTATTACCTGGCCCAAATTTCTATTTAGATCAAATCATCACTTTATCAATTGTCCCCTCTTTCTTTCCTGCATTATCAACTTCTCTGTCTACTGGAACATACCCATATGCCTGCAAACATGTTGTAATACCGTGTTTCTCTGAAAATAAGACAGGGTCTTATGTTTAGTTTTCCTCAAGAAGACACCCTTAGGGCTTATTTTCAGGGAATTTTTTTTTTTTTAAGGACGGTACAACATTCTACATTTATTCAAATATAGTTAAGTCATCTTCTTGTGGAACATCGTCATAACTCTCCAAACCCTGAATTCCATCCCTGGAATTCCAAAGCCTGAATTTCTTGCGACTCTATTTCCTTTAGAACCATTGGCCCCAATCTCTCATGTCAATCAATAGAGCTCTTATGGGGCAAAAGTGAGGGATTGCTCATCTTCTTTACCACTCCACAACAAAATGCATGGGTTTTGCAGATACGCTGCATAGCCATGCCCATCACTAAGTCTTATTTTCGGGATAGGGCTTATATTGTGCAAATGCTTAGAAGTCCTGCTAGGGCTTATTTTATGGGTAGGTCTTATTTTCGGGGAAACACAGTATCTCTGATCTGAAAAACTCCAAAACTTCTGTTTGACAAATATTACTGTCCAAGGTTGCCCCATTTCTCTGCTCTCTTTCAGTGCAAAACTCAAAAAGGTTGCTTTACTTATTAGTGCCAATTTCTTTTCTTTTCTCTCTTTTCATTCCAATCATACTTTGAACTCACTACACTTCCTTATCAAAATCACCTATGTACCACCTCCTTGTTGCCTTACCCAAGAGTCAATTCTCAGTTCTCATTCTAATCAATTTTTTTTTTTTTTGAGACAGAGTCTCATTCTCTTGCCTGGGCTAGAGTGCCATGGCATCAGCCTAGCTCCCAGCAACCTCAAACTCCTGGGCTCAAGAGATCCTCCTGCCTCAGCCTCCCAAGTAGCTGGGACTACAGGCATGCACCACCATGCCCGGCTAATTTTTTCTATTTTTAGTAGAGACGGGGTCTCACTCCTGATAGGGCTGGTCTTGAACTCCTGAGCTGAAGCAATCCTCCTGCCTTGGCCTCCCAGAGTGCTAGGATTACAGGTGTGAGCCACCACGCCTGGCCCCTAATCAATTTTCTGGAACAATAGACACAGTTGAACATTTCCTCCTTCTTGAAATACTTTCTCATTTTGTTTCTAGAGCACCATTCCTCCCTTACTTGCTGCATATTTGCTCAGCCTCTTTGTCTGCTTGTTCCTTGTTGGCCCAATTTCTAAATATTGGAGTACACCCCAGTTCCATCTGAGCTGGTTCTCAGTCTACACAAACCCCCTTGGTGGACTATTCAGTTTTATCCTCCCTAATGTATATCTCTGGTCTTGAACTCTGGGCTTATACACCTAACACTTGAATAAACATCTAAAAATTTACATGCCCAAAACTCCTTCTTCTTCTTCTTCTTCTTCCTCTTCTTCTTCCTCTTCTTCTTCTTCTTCTTCTTCTTCCTCTTCCTCTTCCTCTTACTCTTCTTCTTTGTTTTTTGAGACAGAGTCTTGCTCCGTCATCTGGCTAGACTCCAGTGATGTCAGCATAGCTCACAGCAACCTCAAACTCCTAGTCTCAAGCGATCTTCCTGCCTCAGCCTCCCAAATAGCTGAGACTACAGGTGTGCACCACCATGCCTGGCTAATTTTTCTGTTTTTAGTAGAGATGAGGTCTTCCTCTTGCTCAGGCTGATCTGGAACTCCTGACCTCAAGCAATTCTCCTTCCTTGGCCTCCTAGAGTGCTGAGATTAGAGGCCTGAACCACTGCCCAAAACTGAACTCTTGATTCCTCCCTCCCCCTGACCTACTCTTTCTTCAGTTGTTTGCATCTCAGTAAATGGTAACTTCATCCTTTCAGTTGCTCAGAAGAAATATCTTGGAGTCATCCTTGACTCATGTGTTTTCTTACACTTCATGTCGAATCATTCAGCAAATCCTGTCCTTCAATCTTCAAAATATATGCAGAATCTGATCCATTCTCACCACTCCACTACTACCGCACTGGTCAGGGGCCACCACCATCTGGCCTGCATTACTGCAGTAGCCCTCTAACAGCTCTCCCTGTTTCCACCCTGGCCCCCCACAGCCTGTTCTCCACACAGCCCCCAGAGCCATCGTTCAAAAACACAGGTAAGATAACTTCATTCCTCTGCTCAAAATTTTCAGTGATTCCTCATCTTACTCTAAGTAAAAGCCAAAATTTTACCTTGGCTGACAAGGCCCCATATGATCTGACTCTGTTACTTCCTAGTCCTCCAATTGCATTGCTTACCACTCTCTCCTTTGTGGGTTCCTCCCCTCTAGCCACACTGACCTCCTTGAGGATCCTTTGCACATACCAAGCATGCTCCTTTCTAAGGGTCTGTGCACCTGCTTTCTGTCTTCTGGAATGCCCTTCCTCATATCTCCGTGTGTTTGTTCCCTCACATACTTTTCCCTCCCCCTTTATAAAATAGAATGCCATTGCCAATCTCCTCTACCCTGTTTTATTTTTCTCTGTATCACTTTTGACCACGGATAATTTTAAAGGCTTGAAGTAGAAAATCAGTAGCAAACCACCCCCTGGAATAGGGATAGGGGAGACATCTTGGAGGGGAAAGGGGCTCTGCCTTGCCATTGGGATCTGGGGAGGAAACAGGGGGGCAAGGCTGAGAGTTTGTGGGCAGAAAAGCCTACCTTCCTTTGAAGCACCGGCAGGCAGCACTGCCTCCTTGGGCTGGGAAAGCACAGCCTATCCATTAGCCCCAACTAGAGAAGGGGGCAAAATTCTGTCTAGGGTGATCCCTAGGGGTGGACCGCTGAATGTGGGGGGCTTTCTGAGCGTCCAGCACGGTTGGGCGGGAGACCCTTTGGTGCCTCCGGGTGGTGGCCTGTGGTGCTGCAGCAGAAGGCGTGTGAGGCAGAGGGTGGGCAGCGCAGCTGAGCTCACTGCCACGGGCGCATCCATCCCTCCTGGGCCTATAATTTGGGTTCCCCGGCCCTGGCCGCCCCTATCAGCGGCTCAGCAACAGATGAGTCACCCGGGACCCCGGGCCAAGGCAAACATGGTGGGGGGAGGAGTAGGAGGAGGTTTCCGAGGCTGCTTTAGCCACCGCCTCAGTTGCTCGATGATCCCCCAATCTCCAGGGGCCCCCACTCTCTTCTTTGACCCCCGCCCTCCAGGGCCCCAAGTGTTCTTCCCACATTGCTCTCGCTACACCCTCCATCCCTATGATGGCAAGAATAGCCCTGCACTCTTCTCATGGAAGGGAAAGGGGACAAGCTTGTTCACACTCCCTCCACACAGCGACAACAGTCCCCCACTTTCCCCCTCCTGTCATGGCCCCAACCCACGTCAAGGGCTCTCTGGTTCCCGCCCCTCCCCTTTCCTGGAGCTGGCCGCGTGCTTGGGGTATTAGGCAATGGGTGTGCACCGCAGCCCTCTCCAGGCCCCGCCTGTCCCACCGCCCTCTAGCTGCCTGCGGGTCAGTGCTCAGGCCAGCCGGTCGGGCTGAGGGCACTGCGGGCCAGCTCAGGCCACCCAGTCTGCCTGCCTGTGGCCTCTTGTCCCAGAGTTGGGCTTCAGTGGAGAGACGGAGCAGGAGTATGGTTCCTTAGATTTGGAACAGTCCAGCATGGGGAGCCCTAGGGTTGCTGAGAAGTTGAAACCTACAGTAGTCATTCTGACTCCAACCCCTTCTTGGCACCTGAGTGTATGCTGGAGCCAGACAGGGGTGGAATCAGAAGGCAAAAACTTGAGGGAGACCTAGAGCCATATGGAGAAATACTAATGTCTATGACGTCCCCATGGAGAAAAGGGGGTAAGCAAACCTTGTTTCCCTCTTCCAGGGACCAGGCTGGAATCCCAGGCTGATGTGCAGGAAAAAGGATGAGGACATTGGTGAGGATCACTGAATCCAGGTATAAGGATGAAAACTACTGAGATTGGGCTTGCAGAGTCTGGTGGCCTCAAAAGCCACACATGGTTTGGCTCTTGTCCTCTAAATGGGAAGGAGGGTCAGGAGCTCCAGGGCTCCCTCTCCGCCATTGCTGAGGTAGGGAATCAGAGAGCCCTCTCTGCTCCAGGCTGTCCAGTGTCAAGGACCGTGGCACTTACACCTCAGTCTGCTCAGGGCCTGGTGGTCAGTAAATATCCCAACAGATATATGCTGCTGATCTCCTCGCTTCAGATGGCTGTGCCCCCTATCCAGCAGTGACCCCTCCAGCATGGAGCAGGACCTGCAACAGCACAGACTAGGCTGGCTGCCCAGCAGAACTGCACTGCCACCAACAAGGAAGAGGTGACTGTGGCTGTGGGTATCAGCCCTGTGCCTCTGCTTACTGGGGGGCAGTCTCTGAGTCAATGTGCCTGGGGCGCACGGGGCCAGCCATGCCATGGGCTGCGGTCTGGCAGGGGCGGGGGGCGGCTGGGAAGCCTGGGGCCCCTCTCTGGCAAAAATAGCCCACAGTGGTTAGAGCTTCGAGGGTGAGTCAGGCGGGAGCACAGTGGCGCCTAACCCCTTCGCTGCCGCTGGAGCTCCGTAAGGCGCTTTGCTTTTAGCTGTGCACCCCCCCCCACACCAGGTTCTTTCCTGGTTGCCCTTAGGCTGGGCTCAATTTGGGATCTCAAGGCTTTTCTCAGCCCATGTGAAGCAAGTCTGCAGCCAGGAGCAGGAATCTGAGCCCCCTGAAGTGCAGACCCAGGAATCTCAGGAAGAAGGGTAGGAAACCTCCGTGGGCAAGGATGCCTGCAAGGCAAGGGAAACGTAGCAGCAGGCTGGAAATCTTTGGGGCTACTGGAGCCTCCGCTAGGACCAAATCCTGAGGCCAAAGCTGACCCCTCCCAAGGGGCAGGCCCAGGGCTTGGAGTGGGCGGGAGCCAAGCCTCCCAGACCTGCACTTCTCCTGCCCACTCCAAGTGCTCTGTGTGTGCTATAACTGTGGGCTCTGTGTGCAACTGTCCCACATCTGAGAAGCCTGAGGACGGTTCAGCTCCATCCTCATCTTATCAAAGATGCCCTCCAGCCACCCTGCTCTCGGTGGGGAAACTGAGGCAAAGAGAAATGATGAAAGATTTGGTCATTTGGACCTGGTCCTTGTCTGGGTCATGGCACGCTCCCTGCAGCCTTGGCAACCCCAGAGCAGGTGAGAGGAGCTCTAGCCACCTCCCACTTGAGTGGGGCCAAGCCTAACCGGCGTCGGGGGAGAGGGTGTGTGTGTTCACTGGGAGGAGGGGGAGCGGCTGCGTTCCCCTGGTCAAGGGGGGGGATGCGGGGTAGGGTGGGGATGCCCGGGGCTCGGGGTGGGGCCGCAGCTCCGACAGCCCGGCAGAGCCACCGTGAGCTCCGAGCGAGTAGAGCCAGAGCCCCCGGTTCTTTGCTCGCCCGCTCGCTAGCTCTCTCAATCACTCCCTCCCTCCCTCCCTTCCTCCTGGCGGCCGCGGCGGCGGCGCTGGGGAAGCAGCGAAGAGGAGTGGCCCGGCCCTGGAAGAATGCGGCTCTGCCGCCGAGGGGGCAGAACCCGACGCAGTCTCCCCACGGTTTAAGCAGCCCGATCCGAACCCAGGAGACTCAAGCGTGCTGATCGCGGACCCCGCACCAGAACAACTGGAGGTAATTGGACCTGGGAAATCAGGGAGGGCAGGGACCACGCACACGGAGACGGAGACGAGACAGGCACGCGGGTAGTCAGACAGACACGCATCCACCCACAGGAGCACAGAGAGAGCCAGAGATATTGCTAGAGATAAAGACACAGCGAATAAGGGAGTGCCCCTAGATTTGGAGAGCAATGACCATGAGATCCAAAGGGTGGGGATCAGAAGGGTTCTGTGCTGAGAAGGAGAGCATGTAGTTAAGAAAGGTGGGGGACAGGGAAGAGGACTAAGCTTGCCAGGGTCCTTTTCAAGAGGTAGCCAGGTTCCTCTCCCTGTCTTTTCCACACCTGGAGCCTCTCATCTCTCCCTGCTCCGCAGGGAGGGGGCTGAGTGGGGTGGAGGAGTCCATTCATAGACCTTTCCGGTGGAGTCTGCCTGCCCTTGAGTGCACCTGGAGGCGACACCCCTGTAGGTGGTGGGGAACCCCCTCCCTTCCTGCTCCCTAGCCCTGTGAGGGCGGGGAAGCCAGTTCTGGGGCCCTGGAAGAGGGAGCGGTGGGTGAAGTCCTGCAGCAAGTGTTTTGTGAGTCTGTGTCTGAGTTTGCATGTGAGTGTGTGTCTGTGTGCCGGGCATTGTGTCTGACTGGGCAGGGCTCCAGGGGCGCTCGAGTGAGTCCTGAGCTGGGAGGCTGGACTCTTCCTCTATAAGACCTCCAGGACTCAGACTCTGGGAACCAAGGGGTGAGTCTCATTGTTTTGTTTCAGGAGGGATGAGAAGGGTCAGGGGGATGGCACCAGTGGGTTAGGAGGCCGAAGTAAGGGATCCTTTGGTTGCCCGGGCAAGCTACCCTATTCCAGAACCCGCATCAAATCTCCCTGTCCCGCAGGTCCTGACCGAGCTGCCCAGCGGAGCCTCCGGGCTTCGACATGCTGGAGGAGCCCCGGCCACGGCCTCCGCCCTCGGGCCTCGCGGGTCTCCTGTTCCTGGCGTTGTGCAGTCGGTGAGCAGTTTCCCAGGCTATGGGAGAAGCACCTACTGGGCTGGGGGGGAATTGGAGTGGGCGCCAGGCCTGGATCGCAGACGCCGAGACGCCTTCTCCGTTCCCAGGGCTCTAAGCAATGAGATTCTGGGCCTGAAATTGCCCGGTGAACCGCCGCTGACGGCCAACACCGTGTGCTTGACGCTGTCTGGCCTGAGCAAGCGGCAATTAGGCCTTTGCCTGCGCAGCCCCGACGTGACAGCGTCTGCGCTTCAGGGTCTGCACATCGCGGTCCACGAGTGTCAGCACCAGCTGCGCGACCAGCGCTGGAACTGCTCAGCGCTCGAGGGCGGCGGTCGCCTGCCGCACCACAGCGCCATCCTCAAGCGCGGTGAGCCCGGCTGGGCGGGTCTGCGCCGCCACCAAGGCAATGGGGTGGGGAGGTGGGGGGGCAGGCCGAGGCCCAGGGAGGCGAGAAGGGACGGGTTTGCGACTCCCAGAGGGGCCTCCCCGGGAATCCCCCCCCACCCCCCAGCGCTCTGAGTCGGGTCTGGCCACCGTCTTAGCCCTTGAGCGCTTGACTTACACCTGCGTGCTGCGGGCAAGGCAGCTGGGTCCCTGCTCCCTTACTCTAGGGCCTCCTTCTCCTGCCTCCGCCCAGCTTGATCTAGGTTGCACCTGTGAATAAGAGATGCCCCCAGCCCTGGAAGCTTCAAACGCCCCCCATCCCTCCCCCATTTTTCTCTCTTCTCGGTCTTTGCTGGACAAGCCCAGGCTGGTGTCCCCAGAGACTCAGCGGGGGTGGGGTGACGCCCCCAACCGTTTAAGGGTTAAACATGCTCCCCTAATTGCTGGGGTTCCCAGGAGCCAGAGCTGGGAACAAAGACCCTGATGGCTTTGAAGCTGAGAGCAGCCCCCTCCTCTGTGTTGTAGGGGCCCCAGGTGTCGCTCACCTGAGCAGGTGAGGAACTGCTGGAGGGACAGAGAACAGGTCACTGCCAGCCTGGTCTGGGAGACATGGTCTGGGAGACATCGCTGCCTCTCCCATGCTCTGCTAGAGTTCACTCCCTGAGGAGTAAAGATCCATGGGGGCTCAGCCCAGCAGTGGGGGCAGTGCTTCGGGGACTATGGGGTTAATAGGCAGCTGCCATCTGCGGGGAAATTCCCAAGACGTGTGCAAACAGCTTCACCCCTGGAGGGCTGGGGTTGGGGGATCGGGAGGCTGGCCCAGGAGCCCTGGATCCTGGGGTAGGAGAGGCCTGGCCTCTAAAGAGGTGCTGTCTCTCATCTTCTCAGGGATCCAGAAAGCCCCTGCCTAAAATGAAGTGAGGATTCCCCCTTCCCCACAGGGCCTGGTGTAGGGGAAGGCTTTGATGCCCAAAGAGTGAGCATGTCTATCTAAGCCTGGGAATGACTTGTCATCCTGAGCCTCTGTGACCCCCAAAATATAACAAAGAAGCCAACCTTTTAAGAGGGCCTTAGGGAAAATCACCTCCCCCTCCTCCTCCCAGTGTTTTATAGGGTAATAGCAGGTTAGGGTAAACATAAAGGGCAGTCTTGAAGGGCAAATATAAAACTAGAACCTGGGAAGGGGAAGGGCAGCTCTACAGCTCCAGTGCTTTGGGAGTGTTGGGATGGAGGGTTGGTTAAAACACTGATTAAAATAACCCTGAAGAAAAAAAGAACCCTAAAGGCCTCTGCTCCCACCTCACCCAAGTTCCCTGCAGGGCTGGGGAATTTCTAAGACTTTCAGATGTAGAACTCAGTGAATACATCTTCAAAGACCTCAGGGACTCCCTTTTAGTCATCTCCCAACCCCAGAGGTCTCTCCCTCTAGGCTAGCTCTTTCATCTACACCTGAAACCCACAGATTTAGGGAGTGAGAATGGGCCTCAGAGATCATCTTGACCCATCCTCTCCCTTTATAGATGAAGAAACTGAGGCTCTGTGCTTTCTATTTCTTTCTTTCTTTCTTTCTTTCTTTTTTTTATTATCTCCTAAACATTCTCCAGGATGAGGCTCTGTGCTTTCTGTTCCCGTCCCCAGTGACTTTCTCTCAAATCACTCAGCTGGTGAATGGCAGGGTCAGGATTCAGTTAGGAATTTCTGGAATTGGAGGGGGGCCGTTTATTTCCTTCCACCTCCCCACTCTCTCAGCTGTCTGCCAACCTTACCTCCACCATCACACCCTTCTCATTCCCAGGTTTCCGTGAGAGTGCTTTTTCCTTCTCCATGCTGGCTGCTGGGGTCATGCACGCGGTAGCCACGGCCTGCAGCCTGGGCAAGCTGGTGAGCTGCGGCTGTGGCTGGAAGGGCAGTGGTGAGCAGGAGCGGCTGAGGGCCAAACTGCTGCAGCTGCAGGCACTGTCCCGGGGCAAGAGTTTCCCCCACTCCCTGCCCAGCCCTGGCCCTGGTTCAGGCCCCAGCCCTGGTCCCCAGGACACATGGGAATGGGGTGGCTGTAACCATGACATGGACTTTGGAGAGAAGTTCTCTCGGGATTTCTTGGATTCCAGGGAAGCTCCCCGGGACATCCAGGCACGAATGCGAATCCACAACAACAGGGTGGGGCGCCAGGTATGTGTGTACATCTTGTCCTGGGTCTCCCTAACTTTTGAGGCCTGGCCAGAGTTTGAAAGGCACAGAAAAAGAATAGGATGAGGCGTAGTGGGTGATTGCCACTCATTTTCAGCAAGTCACCCAACCTCAGTTGTGCATTGGTAAAGAGAGCTTAATGATACTTAGTTAAGACTGAGCTAGCATACAGTGCACCCAGCATAGTGCCTAATTCTTGGCTCATTATATAGTAGCTATTATTACAGCTGCCTTCCCTACAGAATTTAGGTGTGCTGTGGGCCAGACTCCCTATTTTATCAGCACTTACTCTGGATAGGGCACTGGACTGGGAGTCAGGACAACTAGAGTTGAGCCCTGGCTCTGTTACCAGCAAGTGACTGAAGATGGACAAATCACACTACTCTGGATTTAGTTTTCCAATCATAAAATGAGAGAGTTGGGCTAATAGCTAACTTCATAAAGCCCTTTCTCCTCTGATAGTCCATATTATTCTTGCCTCCATTTGTCCCTCCCTGTGTTCTCTGTTCCCTTCCCTCTCTTGTGCCTCTGTCCATTTGCTGCCCTCCCCTTCACCTCTTCTCCCTCTAATGTTCTAGGTGGTAACTGAAAACCTGAAGCGGAAATGCAAGTGCCATGGTACATCAGGCAGCTGCCAGTTCAAGACATGCTGGAGGGCAGCCCCAGAGTTCCGGACAGTGGGGGCAGCATTGAGGGAGCGGCTGGGCCGGGCCATCTTCATTGATACCCACAACCGCAATTCTGGAGCCTTCCAACCTCGTCTGCGTCCCCGTCGCCTCTCAGGAGAGCTGGTTTACTTTGAGAAGTCTCCTGACTTCTGTGAGCGAGACCCCACCATGGGCTCCCCAGGCACGAGGGGCCGGGCCTGCAACAAGACCAGCCACCTGTTAGATGGCTGTGGCAGCCTGTGCTGTGGCCGTGGGCACAACGTGCTTCGGCAGACGCGAGTTGAACGCTGCCATTGCCGCTTCCACTGGTGCTGCTATGTGCTGTGTGATGAGTGCAAAGTCACAGAGTGGGTCAATGTATGCAAGTGAGGGTAAGCCTCACCGTGGGGCTGGTGGAGGGGACTGTATGAGAGGGATACCTTTTCAGCCATTTGCTCTGATTTCCATCCAGGGTCAATCCTGGTCCCTGAAGGCTCAAAGTATCTACCTGGAAACAGCTTTGGGGGTGTGGGGTCTGGTGGACTCTGTGATGTGCCGACTTCTCCCCAAAAGTTGGAGGGCCTTGTGGGGAAGATGTTATCCCTCTTCTGCTCCTTAAACACCTGAATGGACTAAGATGAAATGCACTGTATTGCTCCCCCTTCTCAACTCCAGGGCCCTTTAAACCCTGATTCATACCCCTTTTGGCTAGGGAGTCCCTGTAGTTTGATCACTCTTCTCCCTTGAGGGATAACCACAGGCATTGTGTGGAACCATAGACGGGTATCTAGAAAGAGACCACTCACTCCTATTTGCTGTTCCCAAATTCCTCTACTCCAGCCTGGGCTCCCTCTTGTAGGGTAATGGGAAGTAGTGGTAGAACGTTTTTTCTTGGGGAAGGGACAGAGTACTGGGGGGGGCACTGTGCCCTGAGTCATCAGAGAGTTCTCTGTCCTGGCCCTTAGGGAAGTTGTCTCCTGCCATTCTCATGTTAAAGGGCACCCTCCAAAGGAAGGGTTTTTCCAGCCTGGCAGGGTGGCTCAGGCCTGCCTGCAATCCTAGCACTCTGGGAGGCCAAGGTGGGCAGATTGCTCGAGGTCAGGAGTTTGAAACCAACCTGAGCAAGAGTGAGACCCCGTCTCTACTATAAATAGAAATAAATTAATTGGCCAACTAATATATATAGAAAAAAAAATTAGCCGGGCATGGTGGCACATGCCTGTAGTCCCAGCTACTTGGGAGGCTGAGGCAGTAGGATTGCTTGAGCCCAGGAGTTCGAGATTGCTGTGAGTTGGGCTGACACCACCACACTCACTCTAGCCTGGGCAACAAAGTGAGACTCTGTCTCAAAAAAAAAAAAAAAAAGGAAGGGTTTTTCCTAAGACTCTTGGGGCCTCTTTTTCCTCTTCAGCAGGAGGGGCAGAATAGATAATTTATTGTACTAGGACTTGTTCTTGGTTCCTGTTTGAAACTAAGATATAATAAATTAAGTTACTGGACTGGTGGATGCAGATAGTGATGTAGCTACCCACACTTGGGATCCAAGTCCATAGCTTTTTTTCCAGGTGAATTCTCCTACTCTCCTACACCCAAAGACTTTATTTATGTAAATCCTGCTGAGTTTCACAAAGGCTTTGAAATGGTCTTCAGTGACTTAGTTGGCAACTTTTAGTTTATAAAAACCAAGAGGGACTTTTAGATGGGAGGAGCTATAGAGATCCAAATGTAGGCCCTGTTTACTATGTGCCTCAACTCCAGATTTCACCTTGATTGCTGCCCTAGAACAAGGGTTGGCAATTTTGTTTTTTTGTTTTAAAGGGGTAGATGGTAAATATGTTAGGCTGTGGTCTTTGTCCCAACTACTTGACTCTGTCATAATTACTAAACTCTGCTGTTATAGATCAACAGCAGCTATGGACCACACATAAATGAATGGGCATGGCTGTGCCCAGTAAAACTTCACAAAAATGGGCTGCAGGACCATATTTGGTTCTCTGGCTGTAGTTTATTGACCCTTGCCCTAGACCAAGAAGTCACCTTTGTTCTTGGGGATTTCCAGTCTTAAACATATCTTAACAATGGGATTGGGCCCAAAAGAGCAGGTCTTTTTTCTCTGGCTCCAAATGACAGAACTTGGGAGGCAGAGGTAAGACTGATGGGAAACATATTAAAGGGATTCCTATTCTCTAAATGTGACTTTTTTTTTTTTTTTGATTTAGAAACCAGCAAAACCAGCATGTTCTCCCACTGAATTGTTTGTATATGTATTTTGTCCTTCCTTATTCAGAGCTCTTTTGTATTTCATCTTAGTAAAATAATTCCTTTATCTTTTAAGAGATAACCATAACTAAAGAGAATAGAATTTCTTTTACTCTTTCTATACCTAGCCCCAATATCTGTGAAAATAAACTATTATCTTTCTAAGATTTAATGCAGAAAAGGGATATCCATCACATGTTTAGAACTTTACAATTAACTGCATACTTCTAAGGTGCTGAAAATACTGACTCTAACAGGTCATCTTCTTGGCCAAGGAATATAGAAATTGTTTTCCCACTTCTCAAGGCAACAGATATATCTGCAACCCAAATTACCCTCAAAATCAGGTGAAGTGAGTAGTACACCAGGGTAGCAAGGAAATTTTGAGGAGTCTTGGGTTAGGGTAAATACTTCATGGCAAAATTTTATGTCATGAATTTTCACTTGAGCATTGAGAATTCTGGGCTTAGAAATGTGATGGGGGCAGATGTTCCATCCTTACTTACTCCAGGCACTTACTGAACCTTGTGTGTATGGGGAAAAGAGCAAGAGAGAGGGGATGCACCTAGAATGGACATAGGACATGAGAGAGAATAATGATAAAGAATATCCAGAACTGGAATTTCTCATACTCAGGAAGAGGAAGGAGAATCTCTAATGGAGTCTCAGCAAGAATATTTCAGCTTTTTCCTATTTCCTTCCTCTGTACTCCCTTTGGCTCCCTCATTCTTTTCTAGCTTTCCTTCTTTCATCAGACATACTCTGTGGCAAACTTAAGCCCCAAACCACAACCTTGACAAATTCCAAATGGATTTTGTCAGCAAGGCCAACAACCACCCTGCCACTCCCCAACCCTGCTCCTGGCACACGCACTGGGCTCAGCCCCAGGCATGGGGTCAGTGACAGGGTTGGAATATGCAACCCACAGAGCTGGTGGCTACAATTTCAGCTTTTACTAGGTTCCAAAGGCAGCTAGAGGGAGGAAGAAAGACTGATGGACTGTAAGTCAGGCCTCTTGTCCTCCTTCAGCTCCAGATGAGCTCTACTCCGTCTGGCCTTTACCAAGTGGCTGGGAAATTGGGGAGCAGCAGTGGCCAGCTAATTGCTAGCTGGACAGCACTCCTCCTATCTCTGCTCCTGTTTGCTCCATGGGTAGCCCACTCTGATGCTTCAATAGACACTTTCTTCTCCAGACTCCAAAGGGGTGAAGGACTGAAGAGTTGGGAGATTCTCCAGTCCCATTTTTAGTCCTTACTCAAATACCATGGCACTTGCTGCTAACTGTGTTAGGCTGTCATCATTTTCTTTTGAGAGTCTCAGTCTGTCACCTGAGCGAGAGTGCATGGCATCAGCCTAGCTCGCAGCAACCTCAAACTCCTGGGCTCAAGTGGTCTTCCTGCCTCAGCCTCCAGAGTGCTAGGGCTGTTATTGTTTGTATCCTGTTGCACCTGGGATACAATCTTGAGAGAATGTGAAGTCTTGGGTAGGAACATTGACAGGTTCCATCTTCATGTCAGAGTCCTATAGGACATGTGGGTTTGGTACGGGAACTAGGGAGGAATTGAAAAGCATAATTTTGGTGGTCAACATGGTGGGGTGTTACTAGAAATTTCTAAGAAAAGAAATGGAAAGAGTAATCATGTGGAGGTATCACAATATCACAATGCCCACTCTAGGACTCTGTAATAACACTGGAGGAGTCTTTTGCCTTTAAAAATACAGACCTGTCCAGTACTGTCCCAGCTATTTGCCAGGCAGAGGCAGGAGTATAGCTTGAACCCAGGAGTTCGAGGCTATAGTGCACTGTGTGTGGTCACTGTGATTGCTCCTGTGAATAGCCACTTCACTCTAGCCTGAGCAACATAGTGAGAGCTAGTCTCTTCAAGGCCAGGCGTGGTGGCTCAGGCCCATAATCCTAGCACTCTGGGAGGCCCAGGTGAGTGGATCGCTCAAGGTCAGGAGTTTGAAACCAGCCTGAGCAAGAGTGAGACCCCCGTCTCTACTAAAAATAGAAAGAAATTAATTAGCCAACTAAAAATATATAGAAAAAATTAGCTGGGCATGGTGGTGCATGCCTGTAGTCCCAGCTACTCGGGAGCCTGAGGCAGAAGGATTGCCCGAGCCCAGGAATTTGAGGTTGCTGTGAGCTAGCGTGACACCACAGCACTCTAGCTGGCGCAAAAGAGTGAGACTCTGCCTCAAAACAAAACAAAAAAAAAAATACAAAAGTCAAAACAGAGTTTATCAGCTTTTAAAGGCCCTCACAGCAATGACCCAGGACAGATATAACTCTCTGTTATAACAGATTCCTTGTTATCCATCTCATCACTCTCCATCTTACAGTCCTCTTGATTTTACATTCTAGGATCATGTTATTCTTCAGGTTAACATAAGAGAGAAAACAGATTGGGATAAGGGACTGGTGAGTGCATACAGTGAGATTGATAGGAATAGGCATAGTATGGCTACCAGCCTAGTTCTTGGCGGAGACAAAAAAACAAGGCAAAAAATTCAGAAGAGTAACAATTTTGGCTCAAGCCTTAGGGAAGAGCCATGTGTTTTCCCATACTGCTGTAAACGAGAGAGGGCACTTAAAGAACCTTCTTTTGTTCTTAGCATTACTAGGGCCCCTGTGACTGTTTAAGGCAGCATTGCATGTTTAGACCAGGTGCAAACATGAGTGTGAGGGAAGTGGGGGTGGGTAGGAAGCAAGAAACATGCGTGCAAAGTCCTTCACTTTTCCTTGGGATACTAAAATCCACACACATCTAGGTACACTTTATAAAACGATACCTCTGAATATTAGGCTTCAACCCTCTGTCTTTCAAGTTCCAACTTCCTAACCGGCCAAGAGTCCAGTTGTTTCATTTAGTCTCTTAAACTCATCACTCTCTCTCCTCTTCCTTATGGGAAAGGATCAGACTCCTGAGTAACCTAGCCTTAGGAATAGTGAGCAGCAACAATGGTGCAGTGAAGGCTTTCGGGGAAATGCAGCTAGTTCAGATTAAGAAATAAAGATGATTGTTCAGCATGAAACTGGAGGTGAAAAAAATAAAATAAAATAAAGATGAAGTCTGGTGGAGTAAGGCTGGCCACAGTAGAGCCTGTTCACCCATATATAGCTCCTGGCTTTGCCCAAGGAGCGCCTGGGTCCCTCAGCCCAGCTCCAGGCCCCAGTACAGCCAGCGCGCAGCCTCAGTCCTTAAATTCCAGGCACAACCATGGAGCTTGGGATTCTCACCTCAGTCCCCGCTGTTTCATCCCCATTCCCGGCTCCCGCCTCCGCCGCCCACAACCTCCATCCCCCGCACCGGCCCCCACCCTGACTCCAGCTCCAGCGCCCGGCTGCCTCTGCTGCAGCTGCTGCCATGGTGATGGGTCTCGCGAGAACTGCCACTCGCAGCCGCACAGCTCTCGCGTGATCAGGGAGGTGGGAAGTATCCTGGGCTGGGGGTGGGGGTGCGCTGCACTGCTCCTGTCGCCGTCGCGGCTTCCGGTGCTAGGTGGAGGGAAGGAGGGAGGGAGCCGCGGAGCGGGCCAGGGGAGCAGCCGCGCTGAAGTCGGCTTGGGGAGCCGGAGGGAGAGGAGCGAGAGGCGAGCGGAACCTGAAGGGCGGAGGCTGCGGCCGCAGCGGAGGAGTCGGGAGCCGGAACAGGTGAGGGGCTGGGGAGGGAAGGCGGATCCCCGTAGAGAAGAGGCTCGGTTGGGGTGGGAGCTGTGGAGATGGAGGCCTCCGGGCCCCGCCTGGCACTGCCTGACGTGAGGCGGTGTTGTCCTTCCCACCCGAGAGCTTGGAGAGGGGGCGTCAGGCCAGCCCAGCCCCACGCCTGCCCCCGCGTTTGAAGGACGCGGAGCTGGGGTGGGGGTGGGGGCCGCACACAGATTTGTCCTCCGCCTCGCACAAGGGGGCGACTTGGGGTGCAGTTGGGTTCTCCTCACTTGCAGGAGGTGGGCTTTCCAAGGGTCCGTGTCGAGGAGGAGGAAAGCCGTCCGGGGAGAGGTGATGCGGGGGCGGTGATGGCTGTTTGTTATCTTTTTTCTGTTAAAGGGCTTGAGAATGCTGCTCTCTCCTACTCCCTCTCCCTCCCCCACCTTAGCAATAGGAGACCAGAGAGAAACCTTGCTGTGGTTACACCCCCTCCCCCCATCGTGGGACAGGGGTGTGTAGGGGATTTGGGAGTTAGCCAACTGGGCAGGCTGATGGGACACCCCAGGGGCACTATTCTGGTGGTGGTTGCGCTTTCGGGTCTTGGGAACCGCTGGTTGGTAAGAGGGCAGCAGGTGGGGAGAGGGTGGAGAGGAGGCAGGAGAAGGGGGAGGGGATCTGATCTTGCTTGGAGAGGAGAGGTGGGGCCTTCCTCCCCCGTCGGAGCGGGGGCGGTCTCACAGGAGGAGGGAGCATCTTGTCACTGGCCCTGAGTTTGTGTCTTCCAATCCGCTTTCTTTCTTTAGGAAGTACCAGGATTCCCGGAACAGAAAATGGAGCCATTGCTTACGCCAGTCTTTGAGGGAAGGAGGGGGGAGGTGGGGAGGTGGAGTTCCCTGTTAAAACGGGCCACTTGATTCGCAAAGTGGTAGCTGTTCTTTTTGGGGAGTTCCCATCTTTCTGGGTTGTGTTATTGTGGGTCTCCATCTGGCCAGGCCAGGAGGAGTGTGGTGGTGGAGGTGGAGGAGTGTGGTATGTGGTCAAGAGTGAGAAGAAATCGTGAGGTCATCCCGGTGAGCTAGAAATGTAACCTAAAACCTGCCTCTGCTGCTGTTGGATTGGGTCACCCCTAGTCTATGGCATGAAAGTTTTATTGGGAGGAGATCTGCTGCAGGAGTCTGATTGCTTGGGTCAGTGCAACAGGACAGAATCTAGTCTCTGCATACCTCCTTCCCTGTTCCCAGTCAGGTAGTTAGTGACAGTCTTTGCTGCCATTTTGTCTTTGGTATGTTGCTGTGACTGGCATGGGACAGTAGATCTATCATTGCATATTGGACCTGAGTTTGAATAACATGCCTATAAAAAAGCTCATTCTAAGAAAGAAACTAATTGAGATTCAGCTTTCCACAGAATGAATCATTGACCTTGGATTCAGCCAGGAAGGGCTCCCATATATCACATACTCACATACCTCCTGCCTCCCAGCATAGAATTATTACCTTGCCTAGTCAGAATATTTACATGTGTGTATCTTCCTTTTCCAAAGAGACTAGAAGCTTTTTGAGTGCAGAAACTGGGTTTTATCTCTTGTCTCCTGCAATGCCTGTGCAAGCAGTAGGTACCCATGATGGATACAGAATGTGAATAGGTAAAACTCAACAAGCTTTCTAATTACAGTTGAAGGAAAGGGAAAGAGATGGCTTGGCTCTGGGCAAAAGTGCCTGGAAATAGCTAAGTAAGGGTACAAAGACCCTTAGCTTTTGTAATTGAGAAGTCTTGGTCTCTCCATCTTCCTAGGAAGCACAGAACAGGCATTGATAGTGGAAACTAAGACGCAAAAAGAAATATATTACTAGAACACAATCAGTATATGTCTGAAATCCCAGATTTCCTCCTTTCCTATTATGGGTGAAGGTCTCCATCAGACCTAAGTCTTCGGAAGTATTGTATATGAATTGGGATCCTTGAGATTATGGAGGAGAGGCCAGTGTATATGTATGGTGCCTAGCATGGAATTGATGCCAGTGAGTGGTAGCTGCTATTATTATACTGAATGCAAGTATAAAGGAGAGCAGATAGTAGGCTGGGAAGAGTGGAAGTGAAGTGTTAAGTGCATAAAAGGTCATATTGTAGCATGTATTCATTCACCCTACTCTCTTTTCCATTAGAGTCATAAGAGGAAATGGACTCAGAGGACAGAGGGCAGGGTTTATTGGTTAGAAGGAAGAACTTATTTAAAACCAGTTTTTTGTTTTTTTGTTTTTTTTTTTTTTTTAATTTAAAGAAGTTTTTTTGACTTGGGTTGACATGGGATCTTGCTATGTTACCCAGGCTGGATTTGAACTCCTGGGCTCAAGCAGTCCTCCCACCTCAACCTCCCGAGAAGTTGGGATTACAGGCATGTACTACTGTGCCTGGCTTAAAACCAGATTCGGTAAAGCCGAGTATGTAACTGTGGGAAATTGTGGAATTTGCTTCCTGGTATTTAGAAACAGGTGCCAAGAGGCCTGAGATTCATAGCATATCACTATTTTTGGCTCTTCTTACCATTTTTGTTGTAGATAAATTAAGAATGGTATAGTAGTTAAGAGTGGACCTTGGAATCAGACAAAATTGGGTTTAAATCTTACCTCTGCTAATTACTAGTTGCATGTTTTTGGTAACATTACTTGTCCTCTCTTAACTTCATTTTCTTTATCTGTAAGGAAGGTAATGATAGTACCTACTTAATAGGTTGGCCTAAGAATTAAATGAGATAAGTATAAAGCACTTAGTATTGTGCAAAGCACATAGTAATTGCCAAATAAATGTTAGCTGCCATTAATAATCCATCATCATAATAGTAATAATAATATGAACACTCAGGGCTGCCTTAGAGGAAAGGAGGTTTACAAAAGAACAACTTGTCACCCTAGGTGCCTATGTAGAGGGATGATTGTTACCATGACTTTCTATGCTGGTCGTAGGCTTATGAGCAGTGAAATCTTTTTTCAGTATCAGCCTCACAGAAGCAGCTCCTGCTGCCTGAGTGGGAGGTAAAGCTGGAGCAAAGCAGGGGCCCTGAACCGTCAAGTTGGATGTAGGGTGAAAATGTGGGGGCTCATGAATAGTGTTCATGTTAGAAAAGTCAGTGTTACTCTGAGGTAATGGTTGACTCTTCCATAAAAGAGCCTCCTGATTGACCCAGGTCAGGGATTTAGATTCCTGGGTCCTATTATTTTAGGTCTTAATCGGGATTTCAGGATCCTCCATTTCCTGGGCTAGTCTTTTCATTTAGTCGTATCTTTTTTAAGTGTCTGCCTCTGGCCTGTAATCCTAGCACTCTGGGAGGCTGAGGCAAGAGGATTGCTTGAGCTCAGGAGTTCAAGACCAGCCTGAGCAAGAGCGAGACCCTGTCTCTACTATAAATAGAAAGAAATTAGCCAAAGAACTAAAAGTAGAAAAAAATAGCTGGGCGTGGTGGCGGGTACCTATAGTCCCAGCTACCCAGGAAGCTGAGGCAGAGGGATCGCTTGAGCCCAGGAGTTAGAGGTTGCTGTGAGCTAGGCTGACGCCATGGCACTCTAGTCCAGGCAACAGAGTGAGACTGTGTCCCCCCCCAAAAAAAGAAAAAAGAAATGTCTGCCTGCCTCTGAGTATCTGTTTTAGAATGTACTGTGTTATGGTCCAGAAATTGTATAATTCTGTCTGTCACACCTTCTCTACTCCTCCATCTATCGCAAATACAGGTAGAGTGCTAATAAAGCTTTTTGATAAGCAAAAGACACAGGGAGCATTTGGAAAGAGTCCCACAAATATTTAAAGGCCTTATATTATAGTCTGGGAAAGAACTGACTGAGGTAAGGATCCTGCTAATGTGTTAGAGCTTTGTCCTGGACCTCTGCAAAGTATCTGCCACACCATATGGACCAGAAGGGAAATGGCTCAAGATTTCAGGGATCCACCATTATCACCATATTCCTAAAGAAAGGTGAGATGACTGGGTGTGGTAGGTCTCCTGGTACCTTAAAGTTCTCCCATTACTGGTGAGAGACTGGCATAACCTTTCCTTTATTAGTTTATGCACAAGACTGTCAACCACAAATGTTTAAACTTCAGCATGAGCTTAGGATGCAGGATAGCATTTGCTCTCTATTGCAATGGTTTTTGTCCTTTTTTGGGTAAAGAGTCAAACCTTACTTTAAATAAAATCTTATTTGAAATCTAATACATAAAATGGATAAAAGTGGAGTTGCTCTGGTGGTGGTAGAGAGTGGGAGAGCATACTTAGAGAGCCCCCATCATCTCAGGCAGCCTCTGAATTCCATCCAAGGAACTCTAGGACTCTGAAAACATGGAAACCATTTCTCCAGTTTGTCAGGTACAGGAAAAGTATCAGCAAACACCTATAGAATACTCTGTTCCCCAACCCCACAAATGTTTTGCCACCCTCAGAACTGTTCTCTTCAACAAGCATTTCAGTCACTAGCTACAAGTCAGTCATGGTGCTGGATGCTAGGGACATGAAACATGAATAAGGCATAGTCCCTGCTGGCAAAGGGCTCGTAGTCTATGGAAGTAGTTCCCAACCTTTTTCCCATAATGGCATACACAGAAAATGGTAATAGTGAGACATGAAACCTGAGATGGCTGGCCCAAGCCCTCTAGCCACCCCAGCCCTGTCCAGCCATCCAGTGGCTAATGGAATCAGTATCTCCAGCTGACCTGTATTGCATTAGAGGCACATTGGGAAGTTCCAGCTCTGGAAAGTGAGACAGACAAATGTGAATAAATCATACTGTGATAAGTCCTAGAGTAAGGCTGGGTGCGGTGGCTCACGCCTGTAATCCAAGCCCTCTGGGAGGCCGAGGCAGGCGGATTGCTCGAGGTCAGGAGTTCAAAACCAGCCTGAGCAAGAGTGAGACCCTGTCTCTACTATAAATAGAAAGAAATTAGTTGGGCAACTAATATATATAGAAAAAATTAGCCGGGCATGGTGGTGCATGCCTGTAGTCCCAGCTACTCAGGAG